AACAAATGAAGAGTCCCAATTCCGATGACACCAGTAACTGTATAATTGTATATCCGTCTTGCCTTTACCTGAGTGTTTTGCTAATGATAAAATGATAATGATAAGCTAATGATAAAAAAAAACATATGTAAGAGGAATAATTTGAAAATAACATGAAGGTCTTTGATTGGCTGACTTTAAAGAACCTGGTATCAACATCAATGCTTCTCACTACTTGGAAACACTAGATAAGCTGCATAAAGCCATCAAGAATATACATTCAGGCTGCTTTCTTGCTGTGTGATTTTGCTTGTCCACAAGTTGCAAAGATTCTGCAGGATGTGTTAGCACACAAGTAGTGGAACATTTTGCAACATCCAGTGTGTAGTCCTAACTAGTTACCTTGTGATTTTTCATTTGTTCAGACCTCTACAAAAAGCTCTCGGGCAATCATTTTACACAGATAAACACTTGGTTCAGTGAGCAAGCACAATCTTTTTTTTTCTTTTTTGGCAGATTGCATTTACCGCCTACCTAAGCAATGAGATGTTTGCTTGCCTCTATGCCTACGGCGATTTTTTTCGGATAAAACCTACAATGCTTAATTCATTGAAAATGAATTGTTTGTTTAATTCTGCCGTACATGTTGATGTTTTTTTTTCCCTTAAAAAATGTGTAATAAAGCCATTGGAACAGATTTGAAATTAACTATCCTTGTACCTAAATGGCTATGCTTTGACTGCCATTCCTATAACAAAACATGCGCTTCAGTGTGTGCATTGTTTATAAATTTATGAGGTCAATTCCAAAGCTAAAAGTCTATATTATGTAATCTTTTTTAAATATATTATAAAACAATCAATGGGAAATGAAATTGCTAAAATCTTTTAAGATGAACAGAACATTTTTTTTTTTTAAATGAAAGACACAGTGATATCGTTGAAGGAAGAAATGAACACCGAAAATCTTTTCAGTGCAAATAAAAATCAGGGTGAGATAGTGAGCCTTTACATTAACAACTATATAAAAAACATGAAGGAGATAGAATGATAAAATTACAAATGTAAAAAGAAAAATATCTAACTGTTAATATTGTGCAGACATGCCATGCTTCCATTGTCTTTCCTATAATAATAAATGCTCCTGACTTTGTGCTGCTGATGTAGAAAAATCTATGAGGTGGCTTCCAAAACTTTGAAGTATTAATTTTGATAAAATATGCACATTTTTGTTCTTAATAAACAAAGTATCGTTGAAAGGTAGCTTTTCCGTGAAATATCTTAAAATACAACAGAAAATAGAATCACAACACAAGGATTTCTGAAACATTATAATAGATATAAATATTACTCTGACATCACTAAAAAATTATTTGCTACTTTCTTTATAATAGTTCATGCAGTAATGCGCCCAGCTGTTATAATGTCTTGCTTATTGACAGGGTAAGGAATTTGAAATAAATATTTACATTTTGGAAACCTCTCATTAAAAACACATAGTTCTTACCTTTTTAACAGATTTCAACTAAAAACGTTTCAAAATAAAATATAGACAGAAATAACTTTAAAATATATAAATAGCAGTAATGGTAATTTGTTGTGTTGAAAAAACCGGCATTGACTGGGTGGAGAACACACAGTTGGAAGATCTGATGATATTGTTATGCTAAGTAAAAACAGCAATGACATGCAAAGGAAAACAGATGATTTAACAAACATAGCACCAAGGGTAGGACTACAAATAAGTGATGAAATGACAAATATATTGAAAGCACCAACAACAGATCAAGCAGATGTAACACTAGAGATAAAAAAAAGTAATTAAAATAACAGATCTTCTTCTTCTTCAGCATTCCGAGCCCTTGAGGTTCAATGCTGCAGATATGACCCGCCTCCATTTATCTTTCTGGTTGGCCTTCTCTTTCCGGTTGGTGACACCAAGCGTTATCTCTCCAACGTCTTCTTGGTCTGCCTCGTGGTCTACGACCATTCATCTCTCTCGTGTATACAGTTTTTACTTCTCTGTCATCTGACATTCTTTCAATATGCCCCAACCATTTCAGTCTATTAGCTCTCACGATGCCAGTGATCAGTGGTGATTTAAACAGTTTATTTTAGTAATTTTCATTGTAATAGAAATACAAAGAAAGAAACTGCATTGGCAAGGCATCAGCAGCTTTTAATACCTTGAACAAAATATGGAACTCTAAAATGTATAGTTTTAAAATCAAATTATGTATTTACAATTCTAATGTTATTTTAGAATTCTCGAGAAGAGACTGAGAAATCTGGCAGAACTACAGCTGGATCAGAACCACTGCGGCTTCAGAGCAAACCAAAGTACTCAAGACCTTATCTTCACACTCAGACAGATGAGTGAAAAGCCCATGAATATCAAATTAGTGAGATGCACCTATTGTTTTGGATCTAGAAAAGGCATTTGATAAGGTTCCCTGGAGCAATCTCTGGGACAGCTTGGCAGGGAAAAACACTCCAACACACCTGATTAGTGCAATACTGAGTTTCTACAAAAGCTGCAGAAATTATAAAAGAATAGCAGAATTCAGAAGAATTTAAGGTGACTAGTGGTATTAGACAAGGTGATATTCCCTCATCTTACCTCTTTATTCTTATGATGGGTGATGTCATCAAGACCTGTAAGAAGAAGACAAAGAAGTACCCAGCAGGATACTGGAAGATGAGACCAATCTGTGTATCAGAGCTGGCATTCGCAGATGATGTGGCCCTGATAGTTAAATCAGAGGCACATCTTCAATACAACTTACTTGTATGGAAGGAAGAGCTTGAGAAGAGAGGAATGACCATCAGTATCTTTAAAATTACACCATGGTGATCTCAAGAGAGGAGAAGAAAGTTGAGATCATGACGAGGCAGTATGCATTAGAGCAGGTCAGCCAGTTCAAATACCCTGGTGTTGTAATAGACCAAAATGGAGACATTAAAACAGAGCTGGCAACTTGAAAAGCAGCTGCTGGGAGACTTTTCCATGCCAAAAATTGAGGGTTTCTTAGCAGAAGAGAAATTGGCATGGGAGTCTAAGAACCAGGGATCCGGACCTCCTGGGCGACCCAGGGTCCACTGGGATGACAACATCTGACAGTCCCTGACTGGCAGAGGACTGGAATAGGACAAAGCCAGAAAGAAAACTGCTGATAGAGAAGCCAACAGAACAAAGCCAACAGTGTCTTCTTTTTCTATGTTTCATCTCTGAACAGAAAATACAGACTGTAAAACAATGGACATTTTAAATATGTTCTGTGATAAAGATCATCCATAATTTTTAATGCCATTAAGAATATCATTATTATGTCATGATCTGGTACAATTACACTCACTCAGAAATAAAAACATGAGTTCCTACTTTAAACCAAGAATGAGGTAAGTCAAGGCAAAGAGCCCAGAGGTGTATTTATTATTTGGTGCAGCCACACAGTTTGCATAGTTTAACTGGCACTCAATGAATAATGTGGTTGAAATCATTCTAGCTACCTTTACTTCCCAGAACGTTTCCTGGCATCTATTTTTGACCAGAAGCCTAAATCAATTTATTAAACAATTCTCACTTATGTGGACTCTTACCACATTATCATCAGCCTGGTTATCATCAGCCTGGCAGACAAATATACAAATCACTGATGCACTATGTTGTAGTTAAGGAAAACTTCATACATGTATGTTACATCTGAATGAACTTTTCTGAAGTCAAAGTGCCTCTGCCTGAGAGGTGAGGAACCAACAGTCTGCCTACAGATCTGTAAAGCAGATGTGCATGCAACACTCAGGTTCTAAATGAAGACTAAAGTCTGGAAGTGAATGCTAAGAAAAAGAATGAAATTCCTATCAGCTAAATCTCCGAAAACAAGAAGACACAAATAACAAAATGTGTCGCTTGCTGCTGCAGTATTACATTATGAAAGAGTGAGGCCAATCTCTTAACCACATGCACGCAAGTATGTGAGCATGCAAGAGTGAGTGAGTGAGTAAGTGAGTGAGTGAGTGAGTGAGTGTGTGTGTGTATGTGGGTGAGTGAGTGAGTGAGTGTGTGTGTGTGTCAGACACTGACAAAGAGAGAAAGAGAGAAAGAGAAAGAGAGACAGATAGATAGATAGATAGATAGATAGATAAATAGACAGACAGACAGACAGACAGACAGACAGACAGACAGACAGACAGACAGACAGACAGACAGACAGACAGACAGACAGACAGACAGACAGACAGACAGACAGACAGACAGACAGACAGACAGACAGACAGACAGACAGACAGACAGACAGACAGACAGACAGACAGACAGACAGACAGACAGACAGACAGACAGACAGACAGACAGACAGACAGACAGACAGACAGACAGACAGACAGACAGACAGACAGACAGACAGACAGACAGACAGACAGACAGACAGACAGACAGACAGACAGACAGACAGACAGACAGACAGACAGACAGACAGACAGACAGACAGACAGACAGACAGACAGACAGACAGACAGACAGACAGACAGACAGACAGACAGACAGACAGACAGACAGACAGACAGACAGACAGACAGACAGACAGACAGACAGACAGACAGACAGACAGACAGACAGACAGACAGACAGACAGACAGACAGACAGACAGACAGACAGACAGACAGATAGATAGATAGATAGATAGATAGATAGATAGATAGATAGATAGATAGATAGATAGATAGATAGATAGATAGATAGAGAGAGAAGTGGGGGGGAGGAGAGCATCTTGTTATATAATGTTATTGCAATCAATGTCAGTGCACACATAACCATATATGCTGAGTCCTCTAATATAGCAACCACCACAGGGTACCTCAGCTGATTGCTTTCATGAGAAGTTGCTTGCAATGTCTCCTATCTTGACATGATATATGAATTACACATGCTTCACCATGCATGTGTATGTAAGAGAGGAAGGGAAGGAAGAGAGAGAATAGAGTAAATGAGTACTTCTTTATGACTGTAACTGGTGACGTACCTCAGAAATCCGACCATCAAGGTGCTGTTCCAATCCGGCAATCTTCTGCTTCAAACTCTGCACCTTGACCTCAATCTCTGCCATGTTTCTGGCTGCGGCCTCTTCTGAAGCTGACAATGTTGACCTGATTTCTGACTTCAGCTGCACAACAGAGACATTTTAACTCTTTCAGGCCAAGACAACTCTTCTTCACTTGTCTAACCAAAAGTTATTACATTACAGAGTTACAGTCAATCAGTCGAGGACTTTCTCCAAAATTAGGGTTGGCTCCAGTGAACCTCCAACACTTTTGCTCTCATTTAACACAGACTGGAATTCGTCTTATCTCTTGACTTATTCTCCCACTTGTATAACTGTCTGTCTCTTAATTGCTTGCCTGAACTTTTCCCTCGAGTGTGGGTTTTTATTTTTTTAAAGAGTGCTATGTTTCAATATATTGAAACATTTCATTTGTCTCTTGGTGACTTCCATCTGCAGCTTCTTTTTTTTTATTCCTAATCCACAGAGTTACTCCCAATAGTCTGAAGGAATGTAAATAATATGACTATGGGAGATGATGTATCTATGTAGCTAAGTAGCATTTTCCCTGTCTATGTTCTGGGGCCTCTTGGGGGGTTTGGGGGTGTGGATAGACCCACTGCTCCCTAATAAGCATGTCCTAAAAAGCTACTAACTATGAACGCTGAGTTCAATGTTAAGTTAGTTGCGTATCCTGTACAGGACATTGCAGAACCAACCCCAGGATGTTTTGGCTATTGTGGTTTTTCTAGGCAAATTTATGTCCAGTAATTTGCTACTGCTTTCTGAATGGTTGGATTCTTGGTAGCACTGTCAAAACCAATGCAAGGCGCAAGACATGCAGCCGGAATTGAACCTGGCACTCCGGCATTATGAAGCGCGTTCGCATTGCCTAAGCCACAGATACCAATTTTCAACGTATTGGGCTCAAAAACTCTGATTTTGTATCACAGCAGTGCTAACTGCCCTTTTAAGGTTGAACACAAAAGAGGGAGTAAGGTAAAGGAAGAGAAAAATAGAACAGAAAAATAGAACAGAAAAATTGAACAGAAATCTAGAACAGAAATATAAGACAGAAAAATAGAACAGGAGATTGGAACAGGAAAATAGAACAGTAGATAAGAACAGAAGAATGAAACAGAAGAACAAAACAAAAGAAAGAAACAGAAGAATGAAACAAAAGACTGGAAAAGAAGAATGAAACAAAATACTGGGATAAAAGAATGAAATAGAAGAATGGAACAGAAAAATGGAACAGTAGACCAGAATAGAAAAATGAAACAGAAGAATATAACAAAAGAATGGAACAGAAAAATGGAACAGTAGACCAGAATAGAAGAATGCAACAGAAGAATACAACAAAATAATGTAACAGAAGAATGAAACAAAAGACTGGGAAAGAAGAACGAAACAGAAGAATGCAACAAAAAGACTAGAAAAGAAGAATGAAATAGAAGAATAGAACAGAAAAATGGAACAGTAGACCAGAATAGAAGAATAAAACAGAAGAATAAAACAAAATATTGAATCAGAAGAATTTGGTTTCATGATTTTATGGACTAAATGGTACAATGCCTAGTAAGAATGATCTGTGAGAAAACAACTGATATTAAAATCAAAACTTAATGGGAAAACAGATAAGAGAGAAGCAGAAAATACTTAAGTAGGTAAATCATCATTACCATCATGTTGTGCTGTTATATCTTGCACAAGGTTCATAGTTCATTCTTTTTTCCCCTTCTATCCAGTGCAATTGTTTCAATCTCATGGATGAAACCCAGTCCAGGATTTTTTTCCTCTCTCGTCAATGTTTTCAGGCTTTCTTTGGATGTCATCACTTCCCCAATCCATTTGTTTCACATTCAAGTATCTGTTTAGTGATTCTGTGTTGCTTCTTCTCAGAATGTACCCAATATATCGCCATCTTAGTCTTATGCTGTTGAAACCAGTTGACTGTCCGAATATTTCTCTAATTTTTTTTCACCTGAAGCATTTGTTTTCCCATGCATTTAAGTATAATTCACTGTCTTTAGTGGTTCTTCAACTTTCACAGATAATGTGAGAATGAAGATGGAGGCAGTCACTGCAGCTTTCTGCTGGGTAAAGAACATGACACATACACAACATTGTGATTGTAAGTGACTTAGAAAGCACGCTGAGAAAGGTGAGGTCAGGCATGCTTCATGCAGAGTCGCATGCTTCGCTTCAGAGGTCACGGGTGAAGAGCTCGTCTGAATTTGTTCTCCGGGGCAAGCCAGTATTTTGGGAAATGAACAGGCAGACAGATTGGCCAGCTCTGCACAACTTGGTGGAATACTGATGCATGAACAGGCAGACGTGGTTAGGCCCTTGTGGAAGAATGTGTGGGAGAATGTGTAAAATTCAGAGGAGCAAATGGATCACCACAGTCTGGTGACTGTGATGCAGCAGGGAGTGGCGAGGAAATCTGGCCAATATTCAATGCTCAGACGAAAGGCAAGACAGAGGTATAATCAGAACACTACTGGCACCACTGGTCCTGGAACTCTGCGCTGGCTACTGAAGAAGGGGATGGAGCGTTTATGGAAATGCCCCAAGTGCTATCATATCGGTTCTTGAATCAACTCAACTCAGACAATGTTAAAGTTGAAATAATATTAGAATTAAAAATATGTACCTTTTTTTTTTATATACATACTTTATAATTTCTAATTTCGTTCATGCTTTTAAAAGCTGATGTTGCTCTGTCATTCTTTTCTTCTTCACTTTTTCTGTTACCGCTTCTGGTGCCGAAGGATATATTAGGTTCCATTTCTTGCCCTTCTGGCTGCCTCGACCATGGGCGAATCATGCTGTTCTAGCGTTTCTCTGATGTTATCTTTCGTCTCGCTACTGGTCAGCCTCTTGATCTACCTCCCTCTCCTATTTCGGTGCATGCCTTGTATGGTATGGCATTGCAAGGCAGTCCTTCTAAGCAAGCAAATCATTTTATTTGCTGTCTTTACACATAATTAAGAACTGGTTCTACGATAACCTTTTCTCTTATGACTTCATTCCTGATTTCATCTCTTTTGGTCACTTCTGTAGGCTTTTTCAGCCATCTCATTTCCATGGTTACTAATTTTCGTTTCTGGTTTGTAGTGAGGAAGCATTGGTAGCACAGTGTGGGAATGTCAGATAACTGTCAGATATATGGTCTTTTTTTTTGGGGGGGGGGAGGGGGATGAGGGGGGCTGATTGGGATTGCCTTGCCATATCATATTTGGTTCTGTGTAACTGCTATCTAAAAAGGCAAAGTTACTGTAAATCAGTAAAGAAGAAACAAAATTACGAATGTGTTACCTTCTCTGTGTGAGCACTGAAGTTTCCAGAAACTCCACCAATAGCTGTCTGTAGTGAGGCAGTTACCATACACAGCTTTTCATTGAGATGGTCTAGTTTCTCATAGGTGGCCTTCTCATGCTGTTTTCTAATACACAAGACAGGAAAGCAATATGCTCAGCTCTTTCACATCCTGTCATTCGGTCATGTGCTGTCATATTGTCAGGCACTGTCATTCTTTGAGATATTGTCATTCTGTCGGGCATTATCATTTACAGGTATGCCTGGTGTGCTGTGATGTCTGATTCTCAAATCGGTAGGTCAGAAAACCAGGCATTGTCATTCCATCAGGCACTGTCTTTCTGTCAGGCACTGTCACTGTCTAATTCTGTGAGGAACTGTCATTCCATTAGGCACTGTCATTCTGTCATCTCCTTCAATGTCCACTCTTTCAGTTGAATTACAATCAGCGGCCTTTCCCCGTGCTACTGATTTAAGGTGGCCTTAGATCTAAGCTTCCCTGGTCCAGAATATTTGTACACATCTCATTAACACTCGGTGGGTGATGTGGCTTGTATATCACTGACCAACTTTACTTCACTGCACATTTCCTGCTAGCCAGTCTAGACTAATTTGACCTGAATGCCCTGGTCTTTAAAATGTTTTTAACTCTTTCAGTCTCAAGCAACTCACCAGGCATCCGTTGGTAAGCTGAGCTTTTATAAGCTCCCTGTGCATCATGTGGCTGTAGCTTTAACCCATTCTGTGCCAGCTGGTACGTCAGCTCCTGTTGTCCCACAGTGATACTATCTGGGCCCCTTCTTATTCAAACATATATTAGTGTAAGCAACTGTTGCTTAACTCTTTGAGTCCCAAGGAACACATCATACATTCATAGGTTTCAACCTAGAAGTCCAATAAACGCATAATGCACCGATTTTATTACTCTCTTTACTACCCCTGGGCCTGTGATGCTAAACCCCCTGGGACTTAAAGAGTTGAGAATAGATGAGTTAAAGAAATGCATGTGCGGGACATGGAGAGTTAGTCTCAATAGGCATTCTAACCAACCACCATCAAGCAAGAAGGCAAGCAAAAATGGTTATAATGAACTAAAATTATTTTACTGAATTTCTTCAAATATGAAAACAATTTCTAATGGCAAAATTTGTGTGTGGGTTTCTGGGCCCCATTTGAGAGAAAGAGGTTGGAGGTGGAGAGGTGGAGGGGGGTAGACACTAACAAGCATGATAAATGATGTGACTAATTCGGGGTGTTTTCTTTGAGGTCGGAGTACATCTGCCTGTTAGGCCATGAACCAACAGTCTGCATACAAATAAGCCGGTACTGAAAAATGGATGTGTATGTAAAACACAAGTTCAGGAACAAGACAATAGTCCTGAACTGAAAAACAACTAGAACTTTCCCCAAAGTTTACAGCCAGTTAACACTACCTACCTTCCTACCTAAGATTCCTTTTCATGCCATGTGGGAAAAGCACCCATATTTTCACAGACCATCAGCACTAGGTGAGTAATGTGGTCAGCATTAGGCCGGCCATCTTTACTTCCCCAGGACAGCCATCCTCATACCTATTTTAGGTTGGGTCGACCTGCGACGCCCCATACCATGATAAAAATCCACGCAGCCAGCAGTGGGTTTTGATCATAGTACGTTGGAATTACTAGTCAGACTCGCAATGCCTAAGTGCCAGTGAACTCTAAGATGAAGAAGTAGTCATGTCAAAATACCACATACATTTATCAACAAAACAATTAAATTATTCAATTTAAAAAAAAAAACAGACCTAGATTTAATTTCTGCAGCTACCACTTTATCTGTCTGTCTTTTCTGTTCTGCAAGTTGTTGCTCAATAAGACCTATTGACTCATCCAATTTCTGAATTGCCTCTTTATTCTTTAGTCTCTCAGACTGAAATGTTCACACAAGGATAATAATAACAAATATACAATTGAAAAAAACAGTAATTACAAACATTCTTTATTAATTATATAAACCCCAGACCATGTAAATGGATTATCTCAGCTGTGGATAAATATAAATAAAATGACTCAAGTATATCTTCTTCTCCTTCTTCTTCTTCACATTCACCAGCTGTAAACTCTGTTGGAAAGTTCTGAGTGTTCATCCACCTTCAGGCTCTAGTCTTGTTCTCAAACCTCAATGTTGCAGGCATATCTATTTTACAGATCTGGCTTTTTTGTATGCAGGCTCTTGGTTCCTTGCCTCTCAGGTGGAAGCACTCCGACTTCAAAGGATGTCCCAATTAGTTAACTCCTAAAACATGCAGTGGTGGCAGTGGATCGGTTCTTGATTTCCCCCATAATGAGGCCCGGGAACCCACATTTGGAATACAAGTATATAATAACAGTTATGAAAATATGTTAAAATACACAATATATGTCCAGCATTTTGGTTATGACAGCGTTCGCAACTAAAAAAATATTAATGAGAAAATTATATATAACACACAGAATATATCAATTTATGTGTTTAACACTACACCACTACTTCACATGCTAAAAATAGCAAATTACAGGTTTCATCATTTAAATGAGACAGAAAAAGTATGGTCCCAGAAATGAAAGAAGGAAAGGAGGTAGGAAGAAAGGGAGGGAGGGCAGAAGGAAGGAAGCAAGAAAGGAAGCAAGGAAGCACTGATAGTTTTGTTATTTAAAAAACCTGATGTTTACTTGTAGTCGCAAAAGTTGCCAGTATCTGACTAACTAACTCTGTACCTGTAAAGTTTCCTTGATAATGTTGACATCTTCATCACTAACTTTCTTCAAACTGTGCCACCTTTTCTCATTCTCCTCTCTCATGGCTGACTCAAACTTGAGTCTGACTTGTTGCTCTGAGATTATCAACTGATGAAAGAAGAAAAATCAGTAAAAGGCTCATAATAATGATTACAAAATGCAAACAATAAAAAAAGAAATACTTATCACACAAAGCTCAGCCCAAAGCTGAACTTTTCTCAACATGCTCTGTGAGTTGGTTACAATCAGAACATGTGCAATGTAAGAAAGATCAAGTGGTGATTTGTACGGTGTAACAATAGGCTGCAGAAATCACAATCTTATATAGGAGGTACAGAGGACGCCTATTTATGCCACTAACTGTATGGAGTATATGTTGCTAGCACCACTGAAACTAAACCCAGGTTGTTAGCCAAATATGACAGATGAAGCCTTCTGAAAAATGCCTCACCAATAAACATCTGTCAACTGTAGTACCCAAAAGTCATGGGTTCAAATCCTTGTCCAGCCAGATTTATTTTCAAAAATGACCTTGCCTTCCTGCACAATCCAGGGTCAAATGGGTGTCAGGTAAAGTCATGGGAAGTTAATGTGGCTGGTGTCATGTTGACCACATCATCATCTGAGTGGTGATTGGTCTATAAAATATAGGTCTAGCCCTTTACACCCAATACCCCTACGGGTGTTGACAAGGGTCTCTTACATCTGTAGTAAGAAGAATATCAAATTTCTGTGTAGACTTTGTACTTTTGTAGGTATGTGAAACAATAAGCATACATGCTGTGAAACATCTAACAGTAAAAGAAATTTGGTTTTGGAAGGAAATATTTGATAAATCTGGACGGAAAGAAAAAAAACAAATGAGGAATATTTCATGTAACAGATGAAAACCATAAACTAATTAGAGAAATGTTACAAAGTCAAGGCAGTTTAGCCTGGTTGTGGGGATAAAAAGGGTTCTGCTTTTTGTTTCCCCCTTCTTCTTCATGTTCACCAGCTGTAAACTCCAGTGAAAAGTTGTTATGGCTGTTTGTCCACTTCTAGACTTTAGTCTTGTTCCAGAACTTGAGTTTTGCATGCACATCCATTTGACAGATTTAGCTTATTTATTTTGCAGATTATTGGTTCCACTCCTCTTATGCAGATGCACTCCAGCGTATAAGGAAACACCCCTAATTAGTTTAACCTTTGTACATGCTTATTAGAGGCAGTTGGGCTATTCTTTTACAATAGCTTGCGAAGTCGTTCACTAGTAGGATGCAATTTTTTGTTATTTTGAATCCTGGTTCTCCTTAAAACTACGGCCACTTATTATGGAGTACGCCGGAGTTCAGTCCCCTGGCGGCATTGCAATTACGGAGTGGACAAGAGGGAACGACACAAATGACGTAATTACTGTATGTTTGCAACAGATTTCGTTAATATATGTTCACATTTTTCGGTGTAGGAAATACGGAGATGTGTCCCTGCAGCGTGGCACCCGAAAATGCTTAGCATGTGCTCCAACACTGTTAACTGTATGCTGACAACAGGGACGCAATTTGGAATGTTCCAACCACACTGAAGACAAAACTGTATGGTACACGAGAGGATATGGATTGCACGATAGCTTTCATAAAGGCTACCGGCCTCCTGAAATAAGTTTTCTGACAGAAGGATCGAAGAAGAAGAAGACTGTGTGTTTGCGATAGATGCACTGCCTAATAGGGTTAGGGTTTGGGTTAGGGTTAGGGTTAGGGTTAGGGGTAGGGTTAGGAGTGGCCGTAGTTTTAAGGAGTACCAATACCCTAACCCTAACCCAAACCCTATTATGACAGCAGTGCATCTATCGCCAACACACAGTAATCACCTCATCGGTTCATGCTGTCTATCGCCAACACACAGTAAGTACGTCATTTGTGTCGTTCCCTCTTGTCCACTCCGTAATTGCAATGCGGCCAGGGGACTGAACTCCAGCATACTCCATAATAAGTGGCCGTAGTTTTAAGGAGAACCTGAATCCCCACCCTGGCTTTTGCCGGGGGCCCTGAATATAGCCAGGCCATAAATATGGCCTAGCCATAGGTGTAGCCTTACAGCTGAAAGGGGTTTCTGGGACCTCTCCATGGGTGATCCTCATCTGCATGGTGGCACTTTGTGCCACCGGGTGTTTATCGCTTGTGTGGGGTACAACTACCTACCTACCTATTCTTTTATTTCCAAACAGTTTGGAATTGGAACCCACATGTGGAGGGAAAAAAGCTTAAAACAGGTAAAACGGCATAAGTGAAACAAGAATTCAGATCCCACTGCTTCTATTCTTTCCTTCCCCTCCCCACCCGCAAAACAGAACCCTAAAATCCATTCAGGGAAGCAAAGCACAAGATGATGATGAATACCAACACAAGACAGTTCTCTCAGCTATCTATTCCGAGTCTTACCTTCTCCAACTGTACATATTTCTCTTGAAGTTCTTCCCTCAGCTTCATCTCCTTGTTTAGCAGCCGCTGATTCATTTCTTCAACTGTCTCTGTGAGTTTTCCCTGCAGTCGCAGTTTCTCATTCTCTAAAGAATGCTCCTTCTCCCTGTGTGTCATGTCCAAAACATGCATTGCTTCATCTCGCTTGCGTGCCTGGTCTGCCAGATTTTGTTGCAAAGTGCTGACTCTGCAATTATATGTAAGAAAGATCAGGTGGTGATTTGTACAGTGTCACAACAGACTATGTGAATTGTATATTTCAGCTGAAAGAATTTATTTCTACGCTCCATTTTAGTTTAGTAAATCTTATATTATTCAAATGGCAAGATATACTGAAATATTCTAGGACAAGAATTGTGCAGTATACAGGAACATCGAGAAGGCTTGTTGAGATTTTAAACTGTTATTATAAAATATGTATTTAACAGATAAACATGTGTGGCTTCTTAAAATCTTCACAAATATTTAGTTTGATTTTAAGATTTCATTGCATATCCATTAAATACTTCTGTTATAAAAACAGTTTAAAATCCTTGCAATCGTTCTTGATGACCCTGTATTTTTGTATCAAAAAGATTCAAATTAAATGTAAATCCCCCCAAAAAAAACCTAAAGTACATACATATTTATGGACACATGTCATGGGCATCACTAAACAAGAAATGTTCAAGTGGTTTTTGCAGGTGACATTTTTTCATGTGATGGGATAGTCATCCTCAAGACCAACGTGACCCTTATATTTGTCTCTTATGACATGCTTAGTAGGGTGAAAAGTATTATTCTTTGTTGCCCTTAAAGACTTGAGTAACACAAAGAGATGGAAGTTTTGTTCAGTAAACCCTTAATATTAACAAGCAGTGTATCTAACAAAGACAATTAAGCTTCTCAATGTTTGTGATCTCGAAAAAAATATATCAATTCATGGGCTGCCAGTTGATCTGAGGAGGAGGGATATTTAACAGGTTCTAAAATAAAAAAAATGAATCGCAGGCAAACAGTTAACTGATGGGGGAAAAATTATGAAGCAGCAAAGATGAGGTTTTATAGACCAATGATGGCGACACCATGGAGTAATTAAAAAGAGTAATGAAGACGACCTGAAAGAAACTGAAAGGAGACAATCTATATTCTTTGGCTGCATCATCAGAAGCAGAAAACTGAAGTAAGTTAGTGGAAAAGTTAGAAAAGAGGGAGACCAAGAAAGGAGATCCTGAGCAGTTGACATCATGGCACAGAAGATGTCTTTTTCAGAGCTAAATAAAAGTACTTAAAACAGAAGGTTGTGGATAGACAGGACTACCAATGTCGTAGGGCTTGGACTCTACGCAGAAGAAGTGAGCTGTTATTATTTTATTTCTATGTCCTGATGAATGCTTGTTAAACTTTCTCTCAATGTCTTAGTCTGAAATAAAATTATAAACTCACTAGTGTATTATTTTTAAAGGAGTTAAATACATACATCTTTTTAAATAGTAACAAAAGAAAAAAACAAGAAGGGATATACTTTTGCTGAACTTGCTGCTCCAGAGCTCGTCGCTCACTTGCCTCTTGGTCTTGTCGGGTTCTTAGCTCTGTTATGAGGTCCCTTAATTCTGACAGTCTGTGGGAGTATAATAATAATATAAATCAGTGAGAGAACAATAACACTATTTATAGTGTAAGAAGCAGAGCATTTCCTCTAGCAGTAAGCAACGGTTTGCAGTACAGGCATCTTTTCTGGGCATTGTTTATTTCAGCACTGGTATTACAGACATTGTGCAGTGAGTGCCTGCACCTTTTTTTTTGAACACTTAATAGTGAGTACCGGCATCGTTGTTTTTTTTTGGTTTTTTTAGGAAAAAACCCTGGTGGGAAGTAACATTCTAGTGGGATGTGAAAGTATGACAGGCAATAATATAAATAAAAATGGAGATAGAGGTAGAGAAGTGTAAAAATATGAATACAGAAGGTAAGAGGAGTCTTCAAAACACTAGGAAATCGGAGGAAGTCAAAGGAAATTTGAATATTTAGCTCTAATGTCAAATGAGTACTTCTGAATGGTGCTGAAACATGAAGAAGGATTAAATAATGACTAATAAATTATAAACATTATCAACTTATACCGGCACATAAAAAAGGGATTAAATGGTGCTGCAGAATAGCTCTGTTGATAAAATACAAATGCAGACAAATGACCTGCATGCTCAATTAGTCATCATTATCATCATCATCATTTTCCACTTCTGCCATTGAGCGTTGTGGGGAGGAACAGTTTGCAATCCATTGCTTGATGGGCAGCAATGGCTTTTGTCATTTTGTGTCATTGTAGAAGCTCTTTAATGTCATCAATCCATGTTCTCCTAGGGTGGCCTCTTGCTTTCACTTCAGATCTTTTCTCGTGTAGTGCCTGTGCTAACCGCCTGATCTTCTGTTTCTCAAAGAATATGCTGCATGGTGTTGTTCCTACAGTCTGTCTAATAATATCATTTCTAACTTTGTCTCGGATGGTTAAATTGGCGGCTTTTCTCAGGCATCTCATTTCACAGGTGTTAATTTTAATAGGTTAGCATTTTGATAATGTCCAAGTTTGGCACTGGTAGCACAGTGTTGGTATGAATATGCAGTTTACAATCTGTTTCTTGGCGCTCATACTTATGTTTGGATGTCTTAATAATGGTGTCACTTGGAATATAAGTGCACTGTCTCATTGGCATCTTGTTTCTATTTCCCGATCTATTGTTCCATCCTCTGAGAATATACTTCCTAGATATTTAAATTCTTTAACTACCTTCAGACAAGTACCATTCAACTCAATATGTAGTGGACTAGGAATTCTGCTGACATGCATTACTTCAGTTTTAGTAGTATTTATTTTCATGTTCTATCTTCTGCGTGTTTAACTTAGCCTGCTTAAATGGTCTTGCAGACTACTCACCTCATTGTAGAACAGGCAATGATTGTCTGCAAATAGTAGCTCATTTCTTCTATATGGATCTAATTCTTCCTCTGGAAAGTAAAGTTCCTTATTTTCTGGATTTTCTTGGTCTACTGCTTTGAAACTGGTTTCTTTGAATATTCTGTTTATGAATATAGTAAATAGGAGAGGAAATAGCACTTATCCCTGCCTCACCCCTGTATTGATTGTAAACATATCAGACATGCCTTCTTGTGTTACCATTGATCTTTGGGAAGTGTTGTACATGGCCAGGATGTTGTTCTCTAGCAACTGTCCTACAATCCTCAAGAATAGCCCATAGTTTGTTTCTATCTGCTCTATCAAAAGCCTTTACTTGATCTATAAACACACTATTCAGATAATCGTCATATTCAATGGTTTTCTCGCAAACTTTCCTTAGTGTAAATAATGCATCTGTGCAATCTTTTCCTTTCCTGAAACCAAATTATGATGTACTTAGGTGTTGTTTCGCTATAGGTCTAACTCTCAGTTCTAATAATTTTGCATACAATTTTCCTGTGGCTCACAAGTGATATGCCTCTGTATGATGCACAGTCTCTTGTAATACCATTCCTTTTCCAAACTGGTATTATCAATGCCTGCTTCCTTTCTTCCCATGCTGTACTGAAAATTTATGTTAGCCATATGCTTGAATAGCTTCTGTAGTTGTTCCATCTGAAAAAGGTGCTTTGTTTTTAGGGCTCTTCTGTATAAAAAAAACCTTTAACTTCCAATGTTAGAAAGACTGGTTCATGTTGGTCACTGCTTTTAGGCAACAAAACTGATGTTATCTACCTCATTTTTAGGGATAAGTACCTCTCTAAAATATTCTGCCCACCTTGCTAGCCTTTGATGTGCAATAAATACAGGACTGCCTGCTCAATAAGTGACCCTTTGAAAATCAAGTTTGTTTATTTATTTGTTTGTTCATTCATTCATTGTCAGTGCAAGTAGCAGTTACAATAAGCATAGCATAAAGCACCATCAGTTCTGTGCCGAAAGGCCACTCACATTTCTGAATCTTTAGTTCACAAAAATAACTGCCTTGGCCCAGCCGAAATACATTCAAAATAAAATTCAAAGGTACCAGTGTTGTGCCATGCACTAAACTCAGTAGCTGGGCAACGGAACTATATATTTTCAATCCAAATATAAGGAGAAATGCAACTGCAGAATAGGCAAAAACAAATAACTTGCCAAGGTTGAAATAGTCAACCTGCCTATCAACAATACTAATTAAACATATGGACAAATTAATCAGAGACATGGCAAGAAAATGATCTACAGCTGGTCAGTGCATAAAATAAATCCTTTCTCAAACACAATAAAGTCAGAAAAATTCACCTGTTTTCAACCTGTCCTCTCAAATGTGTTGTGCTTGTTTCTGTACTGCTGTATAAATCTCCTTGTTTTCGTAATGTATTCAACTGTATTTGAAAGTACATTATGCAATACTTGTATGGTAAACACAGTAAAGAGTGAAACACAACTAAAACATAATTTCTACATGGATGCATATCTTTCCTTGCTTTCACAAGACTGAAGGGTACACTACTTGGTGTGGTCATCAAGGGCACCCTGATGATAACTTCCTTGGAGATTGATGTGGTCAAGATTCTTTGAGAGTAAGTGGACAATGTAGAAGTACGAACAGATCATTATGGTGTGGACAGAAAGGTGCAACCCGGACTGACCAGGGGATCTGATCAATATTTTGCTTTCAGAGGAAAGACAGAATGGACTCACCCCCGTGAGGGTTCCGGGGCCCCATTGTGGGAAAAACAAGAATAGACCCACTGCCTCCCCAAAAGCATGTCGTAAGAGTCGACTAATTGGGGAGCTTCCTTTAAAGTTGAAGTGCATCTGCAGGAGAGGCAAGGAACCAACAGTCTGTATTCAAGAGAATGATATCTGTAAAACTGATGCACACGCAACACTCAGGTTCTGGAGCAGGACTGCAGTTCAGTAGTGGACGAGCAACCATAACTTTCCGCTAGAGTGTATAGCTGGTGAATGCGAAGAAGAAAAGAAGAAGATAATCGAACTGCTACTGGTACCAATGGAAATGGAACTCTTTGTTGGCTGCCGAAGATGAGGACAGAGTACTTATGGGAATTTCCTAAGTGCTATGATGCTGATTCTTGATTCAGCTCAACGAAGGGCTGAAAAGAAAATCTGAGTTTTGCCCTATTGAACTGCCATTCAGAAGGCAACTCTTGGGGTCACATAGTTGACCAACAGGCAGCAGCTGGAGGTGGATTCATCTGATTCCAACCATTGTGTTTTTAACTTTTTCTGTCAAAAGCGCTTGTATTTTCAAATAAACAAAAACAGAATCTTTCGGAGCTAAAGCCTCCTGTTCTTAATCTTTTGTGTTCACTTTAAAGAGGAGATTGGCGCGCTGTGTTATAGTTTACAGCTAGACTGTGATATCTGCACCTTTTTGGCCCTACACATATGATTTCAGCAAATCCCTAATTAGTAGCCTTTGATGATATGCAACACTGAAAAGACAGAAGTAATGTCAATAGGAAAAAAGAAGACAGATCTAAACATAACAATAGAATACAAAGGCATTAAACAGGCATCTGAGTTTAAATACCTGGGAACTACATTTACCGAAGATGGGAAATTGGATAAAGAAATTGACATTAGATGCAGTAAAGCAAACCAAGTATTGGGACAGCTAGCCCCCCTCTTACAGCATAACACAATCCCAGTCAGCACAAAGAGACATCTTATTCAAAGCATATTTATTCCAACTCTGTGCTACCAGTGCCAGACATGGTCACTCACAACAAACCATAAAAGAAAATTAGTAACCACGGAAATGAGATGTCTGAGAAGGGCTGTAGGAGTGACCATAAGAGATAAGATCAGAAATGAGATCATAAGAGAACAAGTCGGCACAGAACCAATTCTGGATTACATACAAAGACAGCAAGTGAAATGGTTTGCCCACTTAGAGAGAATGCCTTGTGACAACATACCATACAAAGCATACATGGAAAGAGAAGAAGGACGTAGAGCACGGGGTAGACCAAGAACAAGTTGGAAGGATAACATCAGAGAAACTCTACAACAGCACGATGTGCCTATGGTCGAGGCAGCCAGAAGAGCTAGAAACAGAACCTTATATCTCCCTTGACACCCACAGCGGTAAAAGACGAAGTGAAGAAGAAGAAGAAGAAGATGATATGCTTGTCTGGGAGGGGGGGGGGGGGGGGGGGGCAGTGGGTCTATCCCCCCATTCCCCACCCCCTTTTCTTTAATATGGAACATACCAGTACCAGAAATATCATGTATGAAATTACCTGTAAATTAATAAGTTCACTGGTATCAAAAAGAATTAGGATCCATGAAACATTTTTATAAAACAATATATGGCATAATCAAGTGATATTATTTACCACAGTATAAGCGGCGTCCGTGGCTAAGGCGTTGTGAGTCCGACTCGTAAGCCAGCATACCGCGATCGAAACCCACTGCAGGCTGCGTGGATTTTTATCGTGGTATGGGACGTCGCAGGTCGACGCAGCCTAAAATGGGTACCAGGATGGGCTGTCCTGGGAAAGTAAAGACAGCCGGCGTAATGCTGACCACATTACCCACAGAGTGCTGATGGTCTGTAAAAATATGGGACGCTCTGCCCATATGCCCGATGCGCCGAAAGGCGTGAAAAGGGATCTTTACTTTTTTTACTTACAGTGTATAATAATATAATACAACCTCAATTGAGTAAAAGAAAATGTCCTGGGAAGTAGAGTTGACAGGTATTACGCTGACCACAACATTCGATATTGACTGGTGTTAAAAAAAAAAAATGTGTCGAGGACCATATTTTTGATATGTTAAAGGCAGGAGAAGGTCCTTCACTTGTGTTTAAACAAATGAATTACTGGATAATCTCACATACAACTGGATCCTATGGAACTAGTAACATTCTACATGGACTTATCATAACATTTTATATACAACTTTGCAGTTCAAGAATAGAGATGAAGAGGGTCACTGCAGCTTTCTGCTGGCTAGAGAGCATCACAAACACAACACGGTGATTGTCACTGACTCAAAAAGAATCCTGAGAAAGGTGAGAACAGGCAAGCTTTGTGCAGAGTGGCATGCTTCACTTCAGAGGTCACAGGTGAAGAGCATTGTCTGGATCTTTTTTCAGTGCTATGCCCTTGTGTTGGGAAATGAACAGGTGGACAGATTGGCAGGCTCCACACACCTCGGTAGAATATTGATGCATGATTCGGCAGACGTGGTTAAAGCCTTATGGGAGCAAATTTATCAAAGACTGGTGAGAGTGATGCAGCGGCAGAAGCGAAGAGGGGATCTAGCCAATACTCGATGCTCAGAGGAAAGACAAGATGGACATTTAATCAGACTGCTATTGGCACAACTGGTATTGGAACACCGCACTGGCTGCTGCAGATGGGGATGGAGGACTTAAGAGAATTTATTGAGTGCTGTGATGTCAGTTATTGAATCAACTCAACTTATGATACCATAAAAGTTGGTTGTGTATCCTTTATAGGACATTGCAGAACTAACCCCAGCATTTTTTGTTTGTTTGTCATTTCACAGGGCAATTTTATGTTCCACAATTTACCATTGCTTTTTTAATTGGTCAGCTTTTGATAATACTGTCAAACACCAACACAATGTGGTTTGTTGCCAAACAAGCTTGATCCAACCTGGCAACATGGAATTTTGAAGTGTGTTCGCAACATCTAAGCCAAAAATTCTGACTAACTTATTATACACAACAGTATTATAATAATAAAATACACTGCCTAATCATATTACGCAGTCAACGAGATATACAACCAAACAATAAAATAACATCACAATTGTAAAGTTAAATAGTAATTTTTAAAAAAAATTACAACCCAAAACAAAACAAAAAAATTTTACTATTTAAAAAGTACAAAGACGTACCAGTAAATTAATAAGATATTAATAATAACATTTGAAAGTTCGAAACTACACAGTATGCAAAGATTATTTATTTTGTCATTCAAAAATTTACACTGAGAAAGAAGCAAGACTGCAAGAGAGTTTTAGCAAACTCTATGTGATGATTGCAAACCTTCAAAAAGTTCAACCTGTGCACGCTACTTGCCAAATAAGATGGAACCATACCATCAACAGACAAGAATTCTTCATATTGTTAAGGTTGCCACAAAAACTGCCATTACTGCCTGTATTCACTTCTTTTGCAGTGTAGGTGGAGGGATCTTTCAGCCTTAGGATTTAAAGCCCCACAGCTAATGAAGTCACCATGGGCTGTTCAGATTTGGGATTTTTATAAACAAATTTTAGTTTTCATGATTTAACAACTGAGAATTAAGAGGTTCCTCCCAGTGGTGCAGACCGGGAAACTGTGGCCGTGAGGCCACAGGCGAACGAGGCTCTGATCGCCAGATGGGATGGGGTCCATCTGGTCAGATTTTCCCTTAAACTGCGACTGGCCTAGCAAGCCGGCAGTGGATTTTTTATTGCTACGAAAATTAGAAAGGAGATAAATAACATACATGGATAAGATCACTGTAGAAGCAAACCCAGACGTGTATGCTATAAACGAATTACTTTTTGCTGATGATCAAAGCATACTGTATCAAAATGAATATGATCTACAGGAACATCTGACTACTCTCAACAACAGCTGTTTACAACATAATATGAGAATCAGTACAGAAAAAACAGAAGTTATGAAGATCAGCAGAACACACAGGCCACTGAATATAAATGTTGGAAGTGCCAAAATCAAGCAAACCAAAGAGTTCAAATACTTGGGCAGTATATTTACAGAGGATGGAAGAATGGACAGAGAGATAGAAACAAGAATACAGAAAGCAAATGCTGTCACATACCAACTATCACCTCTGCTTAAACATCCAGATATAACCATGAAGACCAAAAGACAATTGATAAACACCATCTTTATTCCAACACTCTGCTACCAGTGCCAGACATGGACAATCAACAAGACCCATGAAAGAAAAATAGAAGCCTGTGAAATGAAATGTCTAAGAAAAGCAGCGAATAAGACCAGACTAGACAGGATAAAAAATATAGACATTAGAAACACTGTCAAAACTACACCATGTTTAGACTACATAGAACATCAAAGAATGAAATGGTTTGGACATCTAACCAGGATGAAACATGATCAAATAACATCACAAATTTTCAACCAAAGAAGCTCAGGATATAAGGCAAGAGGAAGACCAAGGAAACGGTTGATTGACGGGGTCTCCGAAACCTGCCAAAAGCATGGCCTCAGAACATCAGATGCTGCCCGCCTTGCTTATGAGAGGAACTTGCATCTCCCCACAACGCTTAGCGGCATACGTGGAAGGAAAAAGTAAAAAAAAATTAAGAGGTTCCCTACAATGATAGTCTATCTGACAATAAGTAC